CCCCAACTATTTTTGGATGATAAACGTTTGTATCAGGTCAATAAAACATGGGCATTGTAACAATATTTTTATACTACATTTATCCATTTTAAATACACTAACCTCACTCCTTTGTAACAACTAAGGCAAAAATGTAATTAATTCAGAAAATCTTTTCAGGACCCTACCTTGATGTTTCGGGATCCCACTTTGGGTCCCAACCCCAACTTTGGGAAACACTGCGCTAGAGCACCACTTTCTTTTCTTCTGCTTCTCTTAACACAGTCTTTTCTGCCCTGTGCTGTCACAGCAGCGRCATCTAGTGGCAAGAAGTAATAAAAGCAACAGAACAGAATGTCACAGAACAACATCTCCCAGTTACCCAAACATTCTCATTCAAAACATCTTTTTTCTCAACTTCAAAATAAAGCCTCTGCAATTCATCTTTAATCTTGCTGTTGGCAAAAGTCTTCTTCATAAAACAATCAAAGTTTCAACTTTAGTTAAATGGCYAGACTTTTGTCCACATTCTGTCATTTTTTCCACAAGTTTTTTTTAAGCTAACTTATTTCATCACATAGTCTTTTGTCAAAATTGGTGCATATTTTTGTCATTTGCAGAACAATATGTTTTGGGGTCTATTTAAGGCTGAGAGGTTCCTCTTCCTGCGTCAGTTTTTGGTGTTTAATCTGGGCAGAGCAGAATTTACCCAGAAGTCCATCGTTTTGAGTCACTGAGGCAGATCAGTGAACTCGGTTCAGGATCGATGTACAGGGTTTCTTCTTTTCCTGCATAAAAAGCTTCTTCACTCTGACTGTGGCTCCAACAGAGACTTTGGTAGATTTCGCTCTTCTCTTTTTGTTTGACTTTGGGCTTCTTGTAGAGCTGTTGTTTTCTAACATTGTGTTATTGCCCATTGTCTTTAGGTGGAGAAATCCAGTTTTGTCCTCAATAGTTATCCTCTGAGGAGCTGGAAAGGTGATTAGGACAGGGTTTAGGACAGTCTGTACATCAAGTGCAGTCAGGGGAGGATAGATTTTTGTCATCTCTGTGATCAAGTCCTGTTCAGAATCTGTAGCTGTTTCAGTGATGCTCAGGGGAACATGTGACAGGCTGTCTGTCATGAAGTTCTGACTTGCTGCATGTCGTACTGGAAACACATCAGTCGAGGTGACCAGCATGCAATTCTCAAGCCATCAGAGTGCTTATCAGAGTGGTGAAAGAGTGTTACCC